TGATCGTCTACAGCTGTATTGGAACAGGCCGTAATGTACAACTCCGCACAACATCTCTGCAGTTGGGAAATCGAGGATTTGTAGAAACCAAGGGGGGCAGCATGATACGGAGCACCGGGCAAGTTGAGCTTGAAGAAACTACCTGTGAAAAAACGATGTTTAAAGTTTTAAAATGTAGATTTATGCTTGCCCTGCAGTGGTGCAGACGATTCAAAAAGCAATAATCAAAGACAATGGTAATGCGTGTTGTAAGTACATAATGATAGAAGTGTATAATTTAAAATGACGGTTGTTGATTTAAAACGGTATAATGCGCAGTTAACGGCCACATTTAGAATACACCGTACAATTTTGATCACCACTTCTTGTTTCTTTGGAATCAGTCCAAAGGCACAGGTGCCCATGTGCAATTTCCGGGATTAAAGGTATGTCTTACACTAACAGAATTTAAGACTTGAGAGTCTTTTTGGAATACACTGTTTTTGGAACTCGCTAGGTAAAAGTTTTAGATGGCTTCATCACCAGGTTAATTCTTTTAAACGAATAGCACTCACTTACATTGCACCGTTGTTGAAATGCTTTTTAGTTTAGGACGGTTTAGGAAAATATTGTTGGATTTCGCTGCTAGCTGTTAAAAGTCCTGTCCCGGGAATGTGCTCATCTCCGGCGAGCGCCTTGTCAGGCGGGGTTATCTCTGAACGAGGCGGAGCTGCGCTAATTGTCAAGCAGCGGACTGAAACGCGGGTAGGAGTAATGAATGAGATAGATTGGGCGGAGAATCACATTGTTGCTTCCCAAAGAAAACAAGTCTCCTGAGATTTTTTTTTTACAGCAAGCGCTGCGAGTTTCGGAGCGCTGTACTGTACATCTGTGGACGCCTGCTCACGAGTTGCGTGATCTCTTGGAGAAAAGCATCGATGTCTTTAGAAGTTAGCACATTCCAGCACAGATCACTGTCGCCAGAATCCTTTTGTGTCTGTGGAGGTAAGGCCGGAGTGAGAATAAATTGTTTTTTTGTGTGTGTGTGTGGGGGGGGGAGACGGGTTTAAATTCGTATCAGCATAGGGAGTAAGTTAGGATCCGTCAGATTTATGCTCTTTCAAAAGTTTACCGAGGACTCCTTGCTCAGTGTCGGTGCTCTTAAACGCTACAGTTTCGAAGTTTGCGTAACAAAACAACAGCGTCTATTGCATGTGATCTGGCAGTAAATCTAACTCAATGGGATCTTAATTAGAATGTATTGTTGTATTGTTGCTACTTTATTATTTCTGCTACTCTAGAATGGATACATGTCTTGTAGATGCAAATTCTGGGGCTTTCTTCAAACATTACAGACATATCGTTAAACTATTCCGCGCGATATAGGTATGAAAACAAAAACAGCGTATTTGTTTAAATATATACCCTTATAACTGTTTGGGATTTACAAGTTTGGTAACAGCAACCCCGAACAACACCACCTTCAAAAAGACGTTGATATACTGTACTTGCATAGCAACGTAAATAATGGGGGATTGTAAATGCAGTTGCGTGTCACTGTCTGCGGTACAGTATGTTTATTATTATTATTATTATTATTGCAGTCTATGTTATCTGTGGGATGTAGCACCAGAGAGTGGATTGAAGCGAGCGTGCTAATTTTGAAAATCATTGCTTTCTTGTCTAAACCGTTTATCAGCTATTTATATACTACAGACGAGAAGGGGATATTCCCGAATCTCCTCCGGACGTGCAAAATAACTGCAAAAATGGATGAGGAGGACATTACTGACACACTGTCCCAAGGTCTTTCCTCATTTCCGTTCGAACTAGTTTTAGAACGTATGAATAAAGCGCTGGTTTCACAGACCCCCATTACTTGGAAGTTTTTTTTTTTTTCCAGACAAATGAGAAGTCTATGAGTATACAGTAGCTGAGGTTGTTCTGTGAAATAGGCTCTAAAATTGTATAAGAATAGAGTTTAAGCAACCAGACTGGCAATATATACTGCAGATTAACAGTTGTTCAGGACAGGTACAGTAAACTCAGGTATTTCGCTTGGGATTAATGTTCAAGAATTTTGCTTCATGCCTTATGTTGTGTATGATTCTACGCTTTCCTTATACAGTAAAATGAATCATTTCCAAATCCCTACTCTTAAAACACTGAGCCAAAAGACATCAGCCAAGGACAGTAGTGACCAGCCAAGCAAAATAGCATTGTATAAAAATGTTGCTTTTGAAACAAATCCTTCTGTGCTTTAGTACATCTGGGGGTCTCAGTTGATGCTGCTGTGCAATCTTATCACCTCACATAGCCTTTCGGTTGCAATATCTGCTTTTCAGCTGTTTTCAAAGGGGCTGCTGCAATGGATTCATTATCTTCAACTAAAGGTGGGATGCTTAAAAACTCTTGGGGAATTCTGCCAAAAACAATATGCATGTATACTGGAGTTAGGAACGATTTTTCTTTTCTAAATTGGTAATAATCAGCCACGCTTTTAATTTGAACTACATCCAGCTCAGAATATATTCATCACCTTCTCCTACGGCATGTGTGTGGAGTGTTTTGGCTGGCTAGATGGGACTTTCAGTTGTTTGTAACCTGATGTGTTTGCTTCTGACGCGCTGGGATGTCTGAAGGGTGGATCAGTT